ACAATTATAAAGGCATGCTCCCTGGCCGGAACAGCCTCGGGAAAAGGGTGGCTGATGTCATGCTGGGCATGACAAGACAAGCAAAGGAGAGGGAAGGTGATCGAAGAAGTGGGGAACCTGCCAGGTCTTTCCAGAAAAGGGAGTGTTAAGAGATGTTATCTGTATTACTGTTCAGCAGCTACAGAAAAGGGTAGGGAATGAAACACAGACCAGAGTGCAGAGTTCATTAACTGTATCATGCTTTTCTCTTTGCTGGAATAACAGACCTTCCCTGCAGAAAAAGGAACTCTTCCAAGCCAAGTGAGGTAGAGCCATCTCAAAAATAAAAACTAAATCAAGCAAAAATGTACTTTAGCATCAAGCTGAGACTCTATGGCAATGGGCAAGGGTGCAGGCTGGAAATTCTGATTAAACTGCAAAGGTGTTGGGTTTTTTTTCCCCATCAGAAGACAGTTGTTATAGTTCAGTTGTAAATGGCAGCTTTTAAACTCTAGAGCCATCTGCAGAATGCCCCAAGTGTGTGAATACAGAAAGGCTTTCTGAAAATCACAAACATTACAGATTAAATATAAGTAGGAGGCTAAAAGAAGATGTCAGTCCAAGAGTGTCTGGCTCTGCTGGCAGCACAGTAAGGCATGGCCACTTCTGCAGCCAAAAGGACACAAGGGAGGGGTTTACCAAGCAGCATATTTAGTTATCTTTGATATCTGTCACCCAGTGCTAAGATACTCATTTACATCCTAGATACTCAATTACATCCGGCAGCAGGAACGGCCAGAAATGAATTCCCAAGAGGAGCTGGGAGAATAACTGGGAGCGCTGATGGAAAGCCCAGGTTTGTAATCAGTTGGTTCAGTCCCCCTGGGAGGATCTTATCAGGAGTTTTCCTTGTTCACCAACATATATTTGCATCAATGAAAAAGGCTTAATTGCTGCATACAGCTCCACATAACCCTATTATCACTGTGTTACATTACAGTACTCTGAAGACAGAAAATACCACATCACTATCAGGCAATTTATTTTTAATTATTACTGTTTGCTACACACAGTTTGTATCTGTGAAACATGGACAAATTATCACATCCAAGACAGGGACAAACACTGGTTTTGGACAGCATTTCTCAAATTTTCTGCAAGATACCAGCACAAGAAGAAAAGCCTTGTTAGGATTCAGCAAGGAGTTAGAAAAGCCAGTCCCCAGCAAATAATGGTGAAACTTTAAAGGACAACAAAACAAAAAAAGAAAACCAAGAATGTCCTGGGAAGGTATTTCATCAGCCGAGACACAGAGCGAAATATGTAGGACGTGCCAGTGTCAAACTTAACATATAATAACAAGAATACGTACAATGAATAATACTTAAAATGAGCATCATGTTTCCGATCTTTAAAGCTCCATGTTCACATCAGGCAGTTGTTTTTACAATGCCCTTGAGAAGGAGGATTACTGTTATTACTGTTTCCATCCTACAAAGCATGAAATTGAGACTTGGAGAAGCCGAATGATTTGCCTAGAGTGATTTGCAAAGCTGGGATCAGAACCCTGGAGCATCTGGTGTCATCATCGAGATGGAGATCAGTTTTGGTACAGCCAATAACCCGCAGAAAAAAAAGTGGAAAGACAATTACATCAAAAGCCATATAAGAAAAGACTTTGTAAATAGCAAACCCAAGATTTTTCCATAGGCGAAACACCAAAATTTAGCTGACACTGAGCAGACAGGAGCCTGGGCTGCTTGAGGTTCTCGCTCTTCATCAGGGCCTCCTGACAAGGCTGCCCAAGGCTGGAGGGACGTGTGGAAGCTGGAGCTGGCATGTTGCGGATGCCAGACAGTGCCTGGCTCTCAGCTTCCCTACCTGGGCACTCCCTGATGCTTCCAGCCCAAACCTGAGCTGGGGCTGGCAGTCACGCAGGGTGGCGGACGGCAGCTCGGGCACCGCAGGGACTCGGGGTTTGCTGTCGTGTCTGAGCCACCAGGTCTGCAGGGAAGTTCTCTGGGATATGAGAACAGCCGGTGACTCAGGGAATGTTTGTAATAACATGAAATGCTGGATCACCTTCTTGGGGGCACATTGTACTTTCTGTACTTCATATGCAGCAGCCTAAGAAACCGTCTTAAGCCTTAAAATATCCTGAAACTACCAAAGGACTTCCCTCTGGGGAAACCTAATCTCTCCGTCTCATTTTCATTGCTCTTTTGAACCTGATAATTCCGTGCACTAGAACAACCCTTGGGACTGACGCCGCAGCGCCCATCCTCCACCACATCCTGCTCTCCCCTACACAGCACAGGACAAGACGCAAATGCCAAGCTGAAATATAATTCCTTTCTTTCTATTTTCTACAAAGCTGATTAAACGGGAACAGCACCTTTGCCTCGGGGAGGCTTTTCTGCTCATTTGTTACTTGAAGAAATAATTTTTCCTTGCCAGGCTTGCACTGCTGTTTCTGAAATGCCTGCCGGGAAATCCTCATAAGCCATCATTTCTCTCCTCCCTTGGGCACAACGCTGCCTGCGAGGGGCTCCCAAGTCAACCGAGGACGGCTCATCAGAGGCAATGCCCCTGGCTGGCCACAAGGCTGTGGTGAGCAAATTTCCCTCTGTAGACTCCAGTCTGGAAGCCAACAAAAGTTAATTCTGGAAAGAGCCTTCCATTATGCATGTAGATATTATCATTACCAGATCTCCTAATAAATGAAAATCTCTTTTAATGAAATGAGGACTGTAACTGCTGGTGGGTCTTGAGCTATGCTCTGGTGTAAAAGCAAGAGCTGGTTTTAATAAAATTTCAAATTCTGGAAAGGAAAAAAGCTGCCATGAACACAGAAATCCAGTAAAATCAAGTGTGAAATTATTATTCTCCTTTACAAAAGCTGTAGAAATTCTAACCACCATTGGCTACAGAGACCTATGACAAGATCTGAAGTCCAAAAAGTGAGGAAGAAATGCGGACATTTCTGCTTAGTTATCAATAATTGAAAAAACCACCATTTTAACGTTTTAAATTTTCTTATTGAAAAACGAAGTACCATACATTTCTGAACTGAGTTAAATTAAATGTTAGCTTTGCATTATTTTTACAGCTCTTCTATGGAAAAAAGCCAGACGCTGACCAGTTCTGCCTCTGATCCCCTCCTGCTCCAGCAGCAAGAGCAGCTGCAGGGCTGCTCTGGGCTCCACGCGGAGGTGCCCCATCCCGACCGTGCCGCAGCCTCCTCGCAGGATCTCGCCACCGGTGAGGCATGCCATGGCACCATGGCACAGGCTTCACTGCTAATTATGGACATAACAAAGGGTGGACATCCACGGAATCCACACCACATTTAAGGTCTTCTGGATTTGCAGCGTCAAGATAAAATCAAGACTAATGAACTTACCCAAATGGCATAAGCAATATTTCTGAAACAGGCTGCACCTGACGCATCCTTTATGTGATGTGTCCAGGTGACCTGGATGCCAGAACCAATGCTGAGCAACACTCGGGTGAAAGTCAGCCAATATTAGCATGGCTATATTAATATTATTAATAAAATGAAAGATTCAGATGACAAAACATTTTAATTATTTCCCTTCTCCCTCAATTCAGCATTCCAACTAAAAAATAGGTTTAATATCTTTTTTAAAATTATCTTTTCTAGTGTCTTTTCTAAATTTAACACATTTTCCCTCGATTATATTTGGAGAATTTCCACAGTGCTGGTCGGAACTGGGTCAGACCTGTACAGGATCACGTTGCTTCTGAAACTCTCCATGTTACTGTTATAGAAATCTTAGGAAACATCCGATGTGGCTGTCCTCTCTTGGCAGTGAATAATCATAGTTAACTGCAACATTTGGTACTCAGGAGATATCCTTTTCTCTTTCATTTTGGATAAATATTTGAATATTTTGTCTACCCTCAAAAGCAGCAAAACAAATACCAGGGGATCTGCCCTCTGAAAGGGGATGTTTTGATGCATCCAGGAGAAAGACAAGGGTCAAACAATCCCTGCTACACTCAAGTGCAGTACTTCCCTGCGCTCTCCAAGAGAAGAGCATTTCGAGATCTAACACCAGCAGGTTCTCACTCAACCGACAGCCATGCAGAATGGGACGGACTCTCGCTGCGGTGCACTTGCAGAGAGGCAGCATGGTGCAGGGCAGTCTCCTGGCTGCAGCACCAGGGACCCCGAGGCAGTTGGACAAGGGGACACCCTTGCTTCTGGTCACCAAGGGGTTGAAGAGGCTCCATCAGATAGGACAGCTTTCCCACAGCGTTCACTTTCTGGATAGACTCGCCCATGTCAGGGATGGATAATTGCTATGATGTTTCATTCCCCGGGCACTCTCGAGTATCGTCGGGTTTTGTGTCACTGTTGTTTAGTTTTCATCACAAGTCAGACCTGATGATTCAGGAAGTAACATTTTTGATGTAGTTTTGAAACACGCTTCTGTTAACCAAAGCATCTTTCTGTTGTGGGATTTCTGGAGACAAACGCCTTTGGGGAAAAATTTCCAGCTGGAAAAAAAAAAGTAGTACTAGCCAGGTCACAATGAGGAAGAATAAACAGCCCTTCTCCAGTGGCAACATCCACAAGGGATGGTATAAATAGAAGACTGTGGGGACAGAGGGATCACAATCAGATCCCGCAGCGAACTGTGCAGCTTGCCTTGGGCTCTGAGTTGGATCCTCGTGCTCTCACTATGAGCTGTGCCGTCAGGCAGGTCATTACTACCTGTTCCCAAGGCAGAGGCAGCGCTGGCAGCTCTGCAGCTGGGAGTGGAAGGAAGGTCTCCTCTGCCTCCTCGGGAAGACACGCTGCCTATGACTTAGGGGGTGCAGTTGGCAATTTTTCTGGTGACAGTTTAAGTGAGGGATTTCTTGGGAAGCAGCTGAGCGCCAACAGTGCTGCTGGTGGGAGCTTTGGAGCTACCCAGAGGGCTTGTTCTACCCTTGGATTCAGCGGTGGAGGCATCTGCACTCGAGGCATTGGCGGTGGCTTCACCAGGGCTGGCACCGGTTGCGGTGATGGGATCTTATTTGCTAACAACGAAAAGGCGACGATGCAGAACCTCAACGACCGCCTGGCCTCCTACCTGGACAAGGTGCGACTTCTGGAGGGAGACAACGCCGACCTGGAGTGCAAGATCAGGGAGTGGTATGCCAAGGTAGGGCCCAGCTGCGAGCCACGGGACTACAGCTGTTTTCATAAGGAAATCGAAGACCTTCAGAACCAGGTAAATCACTGTTTTTCAAGTAAATTCTAATATTTCTTTGGGTTTTGCTTGCACACATGGATAGACCAATGCCAAATGGCAGAGGCGATAGCTATGTCTCTGGAGGTGCCCAGGAAGCAATAATTGATATGAAACGGACGGCTCAAGGGGAGGGAAGACACTGCATTTACAAATGAAGTTTCAGCACAGTCTGCTCCACCAAGCTGGCACACAGGTTTCCCCGCTGTAACGCCATCTAACTGATCAATAATGCCAATATACGGAACCATTACAAAATAAGTGGACTGTGTTACCCCAGGTAGGTGTTTCCTCCAGGGCCTTCTGTAGCCAGAGGAAGCCATAAGCCCAAATTTCTCTCTGTCCTGCATTTTCTCTTCCAGATCCTCTGTGCAGCCATGGAGACTAACAAAATCCTTCTGAATATTGATAACAACAGGATGACTGCTGACGACTTCAGAGTGAAGTGAGTACAGTCCTTGGACTGAGGGGTTCACACTGCCCATGGAGGGGCAGGTGAGCGATGGGGAATTCCTAACACTGCGTGTCATGCTGCTGCATTGCAGATCTCTGTGAAAGGTGTGGATATCATTGACAATGTTCACAGCATTGCATGCCTGAAGCAAAAGAAGAGCTCGGTCCTAAATTGTTTCCCCACAAACTCAACTCAAGGGCTTGCCATGGTTTACTAACATGCTGACCTTCCTTTGTTGCCTGTGGCTTAAGGTACGAGACTGAATGTGGTCTCCGGCAAAACGTGGATGCAGACATTTGCAACTTAAGGCCCGTCCTGGACCAGCTGGCCAGCTGCAGGACCGACCTGCAGCTACAGTGTGAGGCTTTGACTGAAGAGATGTGTTGTCTGAAGACGAACCACGAGGAGGTTAGATTGCCCCTCTTAGAGAAATAAGAAGAAAGAAGGATAGTCCCCCCGAGTGTGACTATTACTGACATGGTGCACATATTCTCTGCAGGAAATGAACTGTCTGAGGAAACGGGCGACTGGAGATGTGAGCGTGGAGGTCAACGCCTGCCCTGGCCCAGACCTGAGGAAGATCTTGGAGGATCTGAGGTGCCAGTATGAAACGCTGATGGAGCGCAACCGCAAAGAGACTGAGCAGTGGTACGCCTGCAAGGTACGATACATATGCAGAGCTGTACCCTACTCTGCCTGTTGGGGGAAAAGGGGAAAACGAGAGATTAAGAACAGTTCTGGAGATGTCTTAATATCAGCAATGTCATGGATGTGCTCAGCATCTAATTGTACTGCCCATTTTCAGCACTCCTCTGTTCACGGCAGAGGGGTCATCGCATGGTGTTACAGGGTCACAACGGAATAAACGGGGGGGCTTCAGATTTGGAAATACTGAGGGGCACTGCAGGGTGTACACAACGAGTGTGGTGGGCCCCTGGCACCATGAGATGCTGTGGCGAGGTGAGGAAAGGGCAGCTGTTTTCTAACTTTGCAGGTGGAGGAGGTGAATCTGGAGGTCATCACAAGCAGCCAGGAGATTGAGTCAAGCAACAAACAGGTCACCGAGCTGAGACGTCAGCTGCAGGCCTTGGAAATCAACGTACAAGCCCAGCTCACCATGGTAGGTGATGCCACTACAATTCACATCTCGGACTCCTCAGCTCTCTTCAGAAAGCCGTATGACCAGCGTTGTACCCGTAACCAGATGGGCTAAGCTTGCAGCACACCCAGGTACCTTTGTGTTGTTTCCATTCTCAGAAAGAAAACCTGGAATCCTCTTTGGCGGAAACCGAATGCCGCTACAACAAATACCTGGCTGAGCTGCAGAGCCAGATCTCCTGTGTGGAACAGCGGCTGGCTGAAATACGAGCAGAAATGGAGTGCCAGAACCAGGAGTACAAGACCCTCCTGGACGTCAAATGCCGCTTGGAGCAGGAGATTCAGACCTACCACTGCCTGCTGGAGGGAGGACAGCATGACATCATGTACGCAGGCTACGGACAGACTCGGGCACAGTAAAATCTTTATGCTTTGACTTACAGGGATATGAAAATTAGTGATACCAGTGGTAAAAATGCAAGGTTATGGTGAGGAACCAGTACTGACCTGTTACCAGACAGGGCCTATTAGCAAACCACGGGGCACTTGAGGATTTGGCTCTGAAAAATGTCCGGAGTGCAAGCCAGAGAGCATTCCCTGGCTTGGGCCAGCAAAGGCAGCTGGCAGAAGCCCCCCGAGCTGTCCCAGCCGCCTGGGTAAAGTGCAGCGTCACAGCTCCTTAAAGGGCGGTTTTCACTCTGAGCTGGGCAAGGTCTTCTGTGAACACCGTCATTTAACTGAGTTTTATTGGCTTTTGCAAGACAGGATTAGGGACTGGCAGTTAAATTAACTGAAACAATAAATTATCTAAACATTTTCAGTTTCACACAACAATTTTAATTAAACTTTTGGGAAATTTAATTTGTATGCAAAGCAGTTGGCTCTTCCTCCCATTGACTGAGATTTTGAAACAGCAAGGCATGCTGTTAATCTCATAAATAGTTGCATACACACACAACCGGCCTGAGCACCCACCCGCTCCATTAGTTTGGGAAAAAAGGTATTTTAATGGTGGTGCCCTAATGTGGGCTCTCCTGGAGTCTCCAGTCCTCAATTAGTTACATGAAAAATCAGTTTGTGTTCCAAAATGCCAGTTGCACTGGATGAAATGACACTGCCAGAGCTTGTCTCAGAGCCTCGGGTAATCCTGAGCGCGTCAGGATGGAAAAGCAATAGCTGTCAAGGCAGGCAGGATGGAGGATGTGCTAATTGTTGCTCTTAACGACCCTCCTGGTTCGAAGGGGAAACGGCCAGTAGTGACCAGAGACACATGGCTCAAGCCAATGCTCCAGGTCACAGGGCAGCTCTCCAGGGCGTGAAAGTGGGGGGCTTTGGTTACCAGAGCTGTCTCCTTTCCACAGAGGGCCAGTGGGAAGAGGAGTCCCTGCAACATCTGCTGGAAGAAGTGGTGGGCTTAAAGCCAGCCTGGTTCAGCCGTGCCTGCCCTAAGCCTGGGCGCTCTGGGCGAGGATGTGTAAGGTGGGGTGTCCTCTGTGAACTGCTGCTTTAGTCCGGCTGTGCACCGGGGGAAGAGGAGGATGAGAGATCTCCAGGCTTTTCTGGGTGGTGAAGAAGGGCTGGAGGCGGTTTCTTTTTCCCAAGAGAGGCAGTGCGGGGAGCCAGACGTGCGGGATCGCGGGTGTGACTGTTGGTGGTAGAGCATGGGGATTAATTGAGCTATGATAGAAAGCAGCAGCAAGGGATGCAGCTATGGGGCATTTATAAACTTATGCACAGAAAATATGTTTGATGCTGGGGGGTTACTAGTAGTAAATGTGTTTAAGTAAGACTTGCAGCACAACATGAAAACGAGGAACTGGCAGGGGGAATCAGTCAGTCATGAGTCTTTCAAGTAGTGTATAAAATTAAGCAAGCTAGGGAGAAGAGGGAACAGAAAAGTCAGTACAAGAGCAAGAGGAATGTAAGAGAAAGGCACAGTATGCAGAAACCCCCTGAAAAAGTAATGCTTCCTGCTCTCCCTCGGCAGGTCACTGCAGACAAGAGAGCTTCCCTGCCAGCCCACTGCACATGCCCCTGAGGCCTCTCGAAGAACAAACCGTTTGGAAAAACAAGGCAAAAATAACCTGGCAGTTGTCAGTGCTGCCTATAGCACCAGTCGGAAGGGACTTTGCAGAAGGGCTGCCTTCCTGCCACCCACGCTGCCTGCTGGCTTCACCCCCTGATGCTGCTTTGGTCCGATCTCTGGGCTTCACTTGGGCTAATCTGTTTGGTGGTCAGTTTTCTAACAACTACCAAAGCTTGTCTCTAATAAAACTTTGCTACTACTGACACAGCCTTGAACCTGAGAAATAATTTCTACAAGTAAATTAATATACAAGTATTAAAAAAATTGTTATGCAGATAGTTAGATTTATCATATGCCTTTGGTTAGAAATCCACCTTTGATCTATATCCACAAAGCAAAGAAGAAAGAAAAATATGCAGCATTCCCATCTGCCACACCACTCCCACTGAATTCAGTGGCTGCAGGATGG